TGAAGTGGGTAAGCTCTTAGAGGTAGTCCTTCCTTTGCTGAAGGAATTTATCAGTGTATTGAGTCGATATTAAACGTGAATAATTGACCAATAGTAGTACATTTAACTAAAAGATTTTCTGACTGTGCCTTGCCATGAAATGAAGTCGTTGTCATAAGGAAATAACTAGAATACTTTTTTCATTTTACATTGATGCACTAATACATTAATATTCTTGTAACTCATAATCCAAGACTGTGTTAGCTTTGGCATTTTAAATTTACGTTTTTCTTGTGTTATCTTCATTGCACAGAGACTGCAATATCTGGGTAGGTATGAAAGCATATAGCTTATCGATTACACGTGTTTAGTATAACACCCCAAAAGATGACTGACAGAGCTATTGGAATTAGACAATGCCAAATGAACAACATGATATTCTTCCTTTTCTCTAGAGGCCGGAGCAAGGAAAAGTAAAGCTATGTTGGTTGGATCAGTCGAGGAAGACTGCACGCAGTACCTCTTCCTCTGGGCTCTCATAACTGGAAGATTTGAAATTGCCCAGTTCCTTTTATTGACTCAGACAGACATAAGTGCTGGAGCTCTATTTGCGGCTACCTTTCTTCGACGTTTGGCCGATATCACTCGACAGACCACAGATAGCGAAGAGCAAAGATTTCAAGCTAGGTTAGTTATTTGCTTGAATTGAATTGTTTACTTTTTGTGATGAGAATCTCATAGTCGATCTGGCTCTCAGAGAGTTTGAACTACTGGCTGTGTCGATATTGGAGGCCTGTTACTTCAGTAACAAAGAGAATACAATGCAATTGTTAGTGATGGAGAGAAGAAGCTATGGCATGCTTTCCTGTATGATGATAGCCTCGGAAGGGGATTGTCGAGATTTCATGCAGCATTTAGCCTGTCAAGAATATTTAGATCGTGTATGGGCTCACACTCTCCAAATCAATAGTTCTTCATCTCAAGTAAGATCATTGTCACCGCATCTGTATAATTGTAATATTTTAGATGACACGGTTAATTTCTTTTGCAGTTCCTTTTTAGTTTAGTTGTAGGAACACTCTGTCCTCCTCTTGTTCCATATTTTGCCGAATACGATGAATCGAAGTATGGCAAGCAGATCGATCAGCCAGAAGCGGTAAGTCTGAAAAGCTCATTATCACTATTCTAATGCTTCACTTCATTTCCTATTGGAAATTTGCAATTGTTTAATGGTAAAAAAAGAGATTGATGGAGAAATGGTACAAATATCAAAAAACAATAATATTTATATCAAATGGCAGGCGTTTTGATAGTTATCATTAGCCCTTTAGTTGGCTTCAGGCTTCACAGAGGGGAAGAAACATAAAATTGAAAAAAATTCGAGAGATAAGGGGGGGGGAAAGAAGAGTGTTTCAAAGATGTAAAAGAGATGGACACAAAGGTGGAAAAAAGGTGAGGTGAGTACTGTGAAAGTGGTGGAATATGACAAGGTAAGATGAGTACTGTGAAAGGGGTCAAATATGACAAATAGTCGAGGTAAGATGAGTACTGTGGAAGGGGTCGAATATGACATACGGTTGAGGTGAGTACTGTGAAAGTAGTCGAATATGACATACAATGAGGTGAGTACTGTGGAAGTAGTCGAATATGACATACAGTAAGGTGAGTACTGTGGAAATAGTCGAATATGGCATAGAGTGGGGAAGATGTAGAAGATACAGACACAAAGGTAGAAAAAAGGTGATGTGAGTACTGTGGAAGGGGTCGAATATGACAAGCAGTCGGGCAAAAGAGCCAGACAGACACAAAGACAGAGAAAAGGTAAGGCGAGTACTGTGAACAAAGACAGAGAAAAGGTGAGGTGAGTACTGTGAAAGTGGCTAAGGTAGAAAAAAGGCGAGGTGAGTACTGTGGAAGTGGTGAAATATGACATACAGTGGGGTGATGGTAGTTTGAAGTCAGAGGTATATGACATACAGTGGGGTCATGGTAGTTTGAAGTCAGAAATCAACTGCCTGTTTGATAGAATTTTTAGCCGTATGAGGATACGTTGCCCATGGTACCCCACGTGGAGATAGTCTATTGCACAACCCATAATAATAACGTTAACTTATATTATTGCAATAAGTGGTTCTGAGATGGTGTTATTGTTTACCATGAGTGAGTTCCGAATCAATTATTTCTTGAGCGCAAAACTGTTAGTAAATCATTCACCGTGCCAGGTTACTATAAATTGGAAAATCAATAGAGAGCTGTGTTCATTCAGAGGTGAAGGCACCATTGATCAGGATAACTTTATCATGTGGTGAAAGGTAGGTTTGAAGAGAGAGAAAAAGGCAAAAAATGTGGAATAACATTGTGAGGAGGGTTAGAAGGAAATCGAATCGATGAACCTTAAGTTTTCTTCTTACTCAGATCAACCATGACGTTTTTTTTTAGTGAAAGCCATTTGACTCACCGCAAGACAAATTTATGATTATGAATCACTATTGAATTCCCTTTCACATTGTCTTGACTTTTTAACCGTTAAAGTAGCTTTTTGTATGTTTTAGGAAAAGAAGAGGAAGTTTACCGTTCGATGTTACCGACGAAAATTGAAGGATTTCTATCTGGCTCCATGTGTTCGACATGCATACCAACTTGTAAGATCAAAAGATGCGAAAGTGCAATCATTTTTACCTAATTGAGCTGACGCAACACCATTTTGTTTTACTAGTTAGCCATGGTTCTCCTGTTCACTTTGTTCGTCATCGACTTGGAAGTGGAACTTACCTTCAGTAGTCCATTCATGTGTTTCATTTTAGGATTTCTTATATTTTTGGCGACAGTCCATACCCTCGAATTTTTCAGAATTGTAAGTTGCTAGATTTTCTCGCTAGCTTTAATGTTCATTACGGATGTTGAAAAGAATCACATTTGATAACCTTGTTTCTAGGTCATTTTAAACTGGATTTCTTTTCCATTGTTTATCGCGGAACCATATAACAAACTCATTATTGTCGCTATTTTCGGTTACGTTTCTGGCACAACTATTCAAATCCTCATTCATACTGTTGTACCAAAGACGTACTTTCTGGAGCAGCTAAGTCAAATCTTCATCGTAATGTCCATTTTCTTCCCTTTCATCAAAATTTTGCGCCTCCTTTCCATTGGAAGGTACATTGGATCGAAGATGCAGATGATTAGCCAAATGGTAAGTAATTGGTATTTCGAAATGGAAGATTGATTTCGTAGCAGTTAGTCATGAGGATGCATTTGTAATTGATGCTTTGGAATCAAGATGTACTATAAATACTAACTGATTGTCTATCCAGGACGGTAAACATAAAGAAGGCGTTTGCGTCCATTAAGCAAAAATGGCCGATCATATAGCTTTTGGTGCAAGGTGATTGGCTGTCTGCATGGTTAGCCAATAACGCATAGATTTCAGTGATTCCTTGAAGTGGAGGGCACATTAAAGAACACGGGTTGGAAACTCAGTCCACAGGGCACCGAATTCTGTTCGTACAATTTTGTGAATTGATGAAATACTGCTTTGATGGTGCTTCGAGAAAATATCAGATTGTGTATCCTACC